TTTCCCTTCCCCTTTTCATTAAAAAAGCCACTAAATAAAACAATAAGTAATGAAAGGAAAATAGAGCCATCCCACTCCCTGAAGGAGGGTCAAAGTAGACCCAGGACAGCTACCGTGTGTCTGGTGTTGCAATTCCTTGCTTTCCCATAGCTTTATTACTTGCCTGACAGGTGAGATAGGCTACGGTTGCTTTGTGCTTTTGTTTCTCAACTTAGATTCTGTGTTGTGTTTGTGTGCCCCAAGTCCTGCAGTCAACAGGATCCCTTCGGCGTCTTTCACTGAGCCGCCTGAGCAGGTGGCTTTCATTCATTTCTCAGCCTCTAGTCCCTCTCACAAAGCCTGTGACAGTCGGAAGGCCTCCCACGCGCTTTTGCGTTCATCAAAGTCATGGTGCCCTTCCTTTTTCTTTCAGGCATTTTGCACTGCGGTTTGAGCTGGGTACCAATTGGACATTCACACACCTTTCACTGTGTGACCTTTAACAAGATGACTGCAATTCTATTAAAGCACGAGGAGGAAAGAAATCATAGAAGTGGCGATTCCTTAGGGGGTGCTTGATTCATTTCTGAAAACATGCTTTTAAGTCTATAGGAAAAAAAAAAACCTCTTAAAAGTGATTATTTTTGCTATCACGATATTGATTGATAGGAATCTTTTAAAACTGACTTTGCTTTATAATGAATTATAGCACAATACCAAAATAGCTATTTTCTGAAATTTTCCTTAGACCATAATATTTTTCTCTTTTATGTATCCTATGATTCAAGTAGGCTGGTGCTCATTGTTTTCATAAAAACATTACTTTCTGGAGTGACATTTAAAAATGTAACTTGTAAAGCTCTGTTAGTGTTTTGTTTATAAAACAATGAAGAGACATGGACCAGCAGCATCCCTTAATAGTTATTATAATTTAAATGTAATTTTTAAAAGTAGTGCTTATCATTTTCAGCACATGAGAATCTAACAACAGAACTGAATGGGGGCTGATTACAGATACAATTTATAGACTTCTGTACGTGGGCAGATTTACTTTTTTCTTTTTTGGGTACCAGGGATTGAACTCAGGACCTTATGCTTGACAGGCAAGTGCTTAAGCTGCTGAGTTATCTCCCCAGCCCCAGGTTTACTTTCTTCTAAGATGTTGTGTGTTTCTGATATTTTAATAATAATGCATTTATAAACACATTTAAAAGACTATTGGAGGTTACGCCGAACACAGCTGAGCTAACAAAGCTTTCCTAGGCTGCCCGGGTACTGCATGCCTCAGGCAAGGATGTATTTATTAATATTGAACGTCACGTCCTATTATGTCAGCCACTCATCCTTGCTAATGAGACATGATTGGCCACCATTGTGGAGTAAGCCATGTCAAGCCACCCCAAAATGCTTACCAAAGAAGTGCTGCTTATTAAATTGATTTAGAACTTCTACTCAAATCAGTGCCTAATTCTATGCAGAGAGGGAAATTAAGCCTGTTTAGAAGGGCCACTAAGAGACTTAGACCAGGCAGAGAGTTTTTAAAAAATTAAGCAAAACTCTGATTCTGAAATTTCCGGGGCCATGAGAATTCCTTGGAGCGTGTATTAGGAAGTGTGCATGTGATGCCTTGAAGCCCAGGTGTCCTGCCAAAGTTGGGCCAAGTGAGACTCGGGAATCCGATTTAACAAGAATCCAACGTGGTTCTGATGACATTTCACCTCTTTAAAAAATGCATTGCAGTTGTGCTGGGGCCTATACCTGGCTGAAAAGTCACATATCAAGATCTGTGTTCTAAGCAACATGAACAAAGGCAAGACTTTAAAGTGGAGAACTTTGCCTCTAACCTCAGGTCATCTTTTTGTTTGTTTGTTTGTTTTTGTATTTTAGTGCAGGGTCTATAAGGACTACAGGATCTCACTAGACAAATCAGACTTGTAATGATTCTCCTGCTTTCAGCTTCCCAAGTGCTGGGATTACAGGCTCGCCACTACACCCTGTCTCAATCCAGTCTCAATCACCATCTCAGGGTGTCCTGGGGGCAGGGCCAGCAGAGCAGGCTGGGGATCAAACCATCGACCTCTGCATTTGCCTAAGCAGGTGCTTTAATCTGCTGGGCTACCTGGCTGGTCCTCATTTTTGTTTTAAATTCATTTTTCCCCTATAGTTTCTTCCCTGTTCCACATCCCATGTTATACCTAGATGTCATGAATGTCATGCATAAAGTGACAGGTAGATAGCTGATGAACTACGCTGTGCTGGGGAGTTGAGTGCCAGTACTTCAATGACTGGTTCACCTAGGCACACAGTCCTTTGAAAACGTGATGCAGAGAATGCAGGATGTTCACCACAAGGAAGAAATCTCAATACTAAATTTCCAGATGCCCTGGCAGCGCAGTGGGGGAGGTCATTGTGGTTTGCTTGCCTCAACTCTTGGCAAGCCTCCTTTAAAAATCAACTCTATTCTTAAGAATGCACAGGATTTCCTCTGCAGACTTATGTAGACGTTTATGAGGACAGGAATGACCACAAAAGGCATCAAGAATGGCAAGTTCTTGTATTCCAGCTTTGCTGGTTGGGGCGGACAGCATCAACCTAGAGGAAAAACAAACTGGCTGACATTATCCAAATGTATGATATTAATCTGAATCATAAGGCCAGCATGAGGGTTTGCAGTGGGAGGTTTTTCAGAAGAAGGCTGATCATCCCACAAAGGATAGGCATTAGCAACAGCCTTAAGAATTTGGAATCGCTGGTCCCTGTGCTCTCCCACCAGAAATCCTGCTCCAGTATTCCTGGGGGCAGAGCCTGCAGAACGGGACAGCTTGCAAGACAGGTGATGAGGAGGACGGAGATGAACCTGGCCCTACCAGGAGGGGTAATTATAAGTTCTCATTTTGACCTATAGTTCATTAGCTCTGTGACTTTAAGCCTCAGGAAAATGTGCAAGTGTGTTGATGCGTCATATGTATTTTGTTGTTGTTGTTCTAGAGTACTGGGGATTGAATGTAGGACCTAGCTCAAGCTAGGCAAGTACTCTACCATGTACATTCCCATCTTTTTTTTACTTTGAGACTGCATCTTCCCATGTTAGCCATGGATTTATCATCCACTTCCTTCAGCCTCTTGAAGTGGGACCACAGGTCTGCTCCATCACTTCCCATTGCCCTATCTCAGCATGTCTTATCTCCTCAGTATTATTATCATCTCTGTATTACTGTGAGTCCTTCCAAAAAGAGCTAGAAAACCAAGCTTGATGTTGGGATGTATGAGCCTCTCTGTTGGTACACAAGTAGAAATCAGGGGAGAATTTCTTCCATATATTGTCTAGTCACAGAACATGTACATCTTCTGCAATTCATGGGATGGAAACTAAATTGTCTGTAACCGATTAATACTAAAAACATTAGGGATGCAGTCAAGTAAATTTTCACAAAACACTTTTAATATTTGTCTTGATTAAAACAATTTTATAGAGAAAATAAAATGAAATAGTCCACATTGGTGGAATAGTGGTGAGCATAGCTGCCTTCCAAGCCATTGAGCTGGGTTCAATTCCTGGCCAACACAGTTATTTTGGGTTGGGGATGTGGCTCAGTGGTAGCACTCTTGCCTTCATGAACAACATTCTGGGTTTGGTGTTCAAAAAATTCAACTTTAATCCAACATTATTAACTACAAAATTATACAGCAAAGCCTTATGTCAAAGCTTTGGTTTAAAATGCAAAGTTATTTTATTATTATTTTCTTTTCAGTGCTAGGATTGAACCCAGGGTTTTGTGCTTGCAAGGCAAGAGTTCTACCACTGAACCACATCCCCTGTTCAAGGTTATTTTATTTGAACATATATTTTCTCAGCAAAAATTGTCTATACCCATGTCTAACACCATGCATTAAGTTAAAGTCAAAATGGATCAAAGATCTAAATGTGAAAGTAGAAATACTAAATCTATTAGAAGAGAATGTAAGGAGAAATCTTAAAGATATATGGGTTGGGAGAGAGTTAATGAATAAAAACCAAACTGCATGGGAAATATTTCAAAAAATAAACTGGAATCTCATCTTATTAAACTGGGATCTCATCTTATTAAAAAGCTTTTCACATCAAAAGAAATCACCAACAGAGTGAAAAGAAAACCCACAAGTTGGAAAAAAATTAGACAACTGTCCCTTAGACAAAGGACTTCTATTTAGAACACAAAGTATTTTTAAACATCAGGGCCCTAAAATTCAAAGACTAAATAAAAAAATGGGCATCTGAGATGAATACATACACTTCTCAGATAAAAGAAATACAAACAACAAAGAAATGCATGAAGAAATGTTCAACATCATTGATCATCTGAGAAGTGCAAGTTAAAACAACACTGAGATTCTATCTCACTCCAGAAAGAATGGCTATCATCAATAAGTCAACTGACAACAAATGCTAGAGGGGCTGCAGAGAAAAAGGGATCCTTTTTTACTGTTGGTGGCAGCATAGACTGGTATAACCACTGAGGAAATTAGTGTGGAGATTCCTCAAAACACTAAGATTAGAGATTCCACTTGAACCAGCTATTCCCCTTGTGGGTATTTTTTCAGATAAATTAAAAACACCATACCACAGCAATATATGTGCATCCATGTTTATAGCAGCACAGTTTGTTATAGCTAAATATTGGATACAACTCAAATGCCCATCAACGGAGGAATGGATAAAAAGGGGGTATTTTTATACAATGGAGTACTACTCAGCTATAAAGAAAAATCACCTTGAGGCTTTTACAGATAAATGGCTGCAACTAGAGACCACACTCATCAGTGAAATAAATCAGACTCACAAATGTAAGCATCACATTGTCTCCCTAGTGTAAAAAAGTGAAAGAGTAAATAAAATCCAAAGGTATAATAGATATAGCAAAGAAACTGCTCAAAAGGAAAGAACAACTGGGGTGGGGCAAAGGATATATATATATATATATATATATATATATATGTAAGATAATTATACTATTAATTTCTATTAGTTCATTGAAGGGAACAGTTAGTGTTTATATTTTTGACCATTCCTACCTACCTAAAATAGTCTATATCCTTATGACCTCTCAAACTTAAAACAAAATAAAGGGATGCACAATCAATACTTACAAAAAGTTTAGTATTTCCTGCATTATTTGTACTTCATTATTCTTGGATTTTTATTGAGGAATGAAAAATTTATGAGTAACATTGTATAAATTAAACACTGTATAACATGGTGATCGAAATATTTATTATAATCAGCTTAACTCACACATCTGTCAGCTCACGTGGTTACCATGTGCAGATGTTTGGTGAGAATAGTTAAGATTTACTCTCTTAGCAGGTTATATGTATGCAATGTAGGCACACTAGTCATGATGCCCAGACTATACATTATACATACTATACATTAGCTCCCCAGAACTCATTCATCATGGAGTTGAAAGTTTACCCTTTGATCAAATTGTTTCTATTCCCTGCCATCCACTTCTAGGTGCCAGCAACAACTATACTATTCTTTGATTCTGTGAGTTTGAGTTCTGTAGATTCCACATATGTGAAGTCACATCGATATATTTCTATTCATTTGTTCATAAACAATGATTGAGCACCTATATTGTGTCAGTCACTGAGTAGCATAATCATACAGGCTGTAGTGGCAAACGAGAGAGAGAGAGAGAGAGAGAGAGAGAGAGAGAGAGAGAGAGAGAGAGCTATTTCTGTGTGAGATTTTCCATTTTGTTCGCTGTGATTGGTAAAGCTCTAGGTTCTCTTTGGTTGAAGCTCACATGGATGTGTCCATTCTGGATGAGTCGTGCAGAGATCTTCATGAACACTGTCAGAGATGTACAGAACAGAGCAAAGCTCAGGCACAAGTCAAGGGCTTGAAGTGTCAGGTGGTATTCTTCATAGTGCAGTGGGTCCACGCAAACCAGTGGGAATTTTGTGTATGGAAAGGGAAAGGCAACCGCATATCCGAGGTAATTGGTCCCGGCAACCCCTGAAAACGAGTAGAAGCAATAGGGGCCAAGGAAAGCAGATTCCAAGGCTATGGCAAAGTGAAGTGGACATCCCATAATGCTCAGAATCACAAAGGAGAAACAAGCTTCCCACTGAAAAGAAAGCAGAAACAAACATTACTTCAGAGATGTGCTATTTCTAGAGCTCCTAAGCAGTGTGGAAAGAGATGCTGACCTGCCTCTGGAAAAGGAAAGAAAACGGATCACAGCTTCCTCTCTGAATCCTAATATTCTAGCCTCTAGTGTGCATTAGGAAGAAAAAACAAAGGCTGGTTGACTGAAGTCAAAGGGAAATCAACTCAATTTCTGTCATTTGCAAAGAGTCAGTCTGGGTTAGGGAAAACAAAAAGGAATAAACAGAATCTGTTACTAGGCATGGTGTGTACTTGAAATCCCAGCACTCTGAGGCAGAGGCAGGAAGATCACTGCAAATTTGAGGCCAGCCTGGGCTGGAAAGTGAGTTCTAAACCACCCTGAACTGCATAGTGAAACCCTGTCTTAAAAAGACAAAACAAGGGGCCGGGTAGATAGCTCCATAGAATAAGTGCTTGCCTGGCAAGCGCAGGGGACTGAGTTCAATTAAACAGCAAGAAAAACCAGCAGCAGCAACAAAAACACTAGAATTGCTCCTCACAGACCCTGCCACTCAGGGTGGATTCCCTGGACCAGTAGTATTAATGTTATATTAAGAGCCTATCAGAAATGTAGAATCTCAGACCTTCCCTAGGTCTGGTGAATCAGAACCCACACTTTGCCAAGAGTTTCTGTTGATGCACACATATGCTGATGTTTGAAAGGCACAGCCATAGCCATGGGAATGGTTTGATCAGATAAGGCAGTTTTCTCTTTCATGGGATTATCTGTCTCTGGATTGTTGAAGTGGAAGATATCACAGGTATTTCATCTCTCAGCAGACATGTAGGGAGGGATGAAAAAGAGAAGTTGGATTGAGAATTTAAGACTTCAAACTATATTACATTAAAGGGTGAGACTGTAGCTCAGTGGTTCAGCAGGCATGAGGCCCCGGTACCAATTCCCAACAGCACAAAACTAAGTGAATAAAAAAAACAAACAAACAAAAGCAGAGGAACAGAGATGTGTTCTTTCAAAATGAGACTCAGGAGCATTAACCTTGGTTCTGTCCTCCCTAAGGGCAATTATAATCACAGGAATTTGTAGAAATTGTTTGGAGCAGACATCAGATTTTAAAAATCACTCATTTGAAACATAGTTTATTACTGAAATCCATCTTAGCAAAGCCCGCGTGAGAATCAAATTCCATTATAACTGGAAATCCCATTCTCTGTGTTCTATTCTAATGTAGTAGTGCTTTGACCTTCAAAACCACTTTACCAGTCTACTCCACATCTATATATTTACCAGGTATCTCTGTGTCCACTGTTTGGAAGACAACAGTAGCAGGATGCCAGCTGTGATGGCCTGTGAAAAGAAAATGGGAAAATAACATTCGTAACACAAGTGCCTCTGCAAAGAGTTCAATCTGTCTCTCAGTCTGACAACTTTATCAGGAGCTAGAAGAAACAGTAAATGGCTAAATGGATTTATGGCTCGGATCGCTTCTTCCTCTGTGGAAGAAACCGTGATGCAATGAGGAAAATAAGCTATTAGTGTCATAAAGGCTTGATTCATTCAAGCTCAATGTTTGGTTCTTTCTGTTGCCTTTATCGTCCCAGTTACAACCTCCACTACTGAAAGGTGTCACCATCACAAGAGTCTGGCTTCTATAGCTCTTGCCTTATGTTCTAATTGGACTAATTTTTTTTCATCCTACCCACAGATTTCTAAATTTGAAAATAGGAGGAACTAGCATGGAGACCGAACCCCGAAATCCCTCACAGCAGTGGCATGATCATTGGCTAGATGAGTTCACTTGAGAATCGACAACCTCAGATTGACAGAGGGATCCAAATGCATGATCTTTGCTTCTCAAATAACAAAAATTATCATTAGAATGAACACATGATGTGGCATTTATTGTGCTGGTGCAGAGATGTCCGGCTTTTCAAAAGAGAGTTTTTCCTTATAATCACTACTGAAGGAAAAAAGCCCAAAGTGCAGAATGAAAACAGTTAACAAAGAGAGAATAGTGTCACAAGAATGGAGCGTTTGATAACAAACTTTCTTCCAAAAAACCTTTGAGTTCATCTTAGATTTAGTAGCAGGTCTGATAAAGACTTTGTGGCAATTGAAACTAGAAATTGCTTATTCTCAAGCCATATAAATCATTTGATCTTAGTCAAGGAATGTTTTGAGGTTAAGAGAAACCACCAGGAAGAGATAAGCCGAACATCAGGCACTGAGTATGCGTGAGTCTAAAAGCAGCATTTTTGGTTTTTGACAGAGAAATAGATACGGCTTTGTGGTGTGCTGTTTTTGCAGCTCTGAGTTTGGGATGCTTGTTGTTTTGAGACTTAACTTTTCATCTTCCTGGCATATTTTATTCTGATGTTGGATTTAAAGAATCTGAGGGAAGGAAACACACACACACACACACACACACACTCATACACTCACACACTCTCACACAAAACTTCTCATGTAGCTGAGCCTGACATTCCAGACTTGGCATGACCATAACATAAAACTCTCATGGATAAAAACAGAACCATCTGTAGTCAAAAGAGGTCCTTGGTTTGATTCTGCAAGAGGAATGTTTCCAAGGGATCCTGTGGAGGTTGAGCCAGCATAAATAGTACAACAAACAGTAGATTAATAAGAGTAACTGTAACTGATGCTGTGGGGGAAGCCTGGGGCTAGCCTAGGCTTCTAGAGGCTTGGCCCTCAATGGACCTATCACTCTTCTGTCATGAATCAGAGAAAAATGTGAAAGCAAGATAAAAGCAAAGGAGACAGACTTACACTCCTCTGCTGCAGAAGATAACTGACGTTATCAGATGCTTGGATCCCACCATGCCTTAATTACTTTGGCATGAGCTATTTCTTTCCTTTCAAAAGTTGAAAAATACTGCAGAATTGCTGTTGCCTGTTACTTCTGTTGTAACTGTCATCTTGAATTTTGCTTTATTTACACAAAACTTTGAAAAAGACCTTTCAGAGAGTAGGCTGGGTATGAACGCAGTTCAGTAACATGTTAAATTCAGCCTGGGGATGGGATGGGAATGGGGTGCAGCTCAGCAGCTTAGGAATCTAGTGCCCCACACCATGCATGGGACAAAGGTATTTTTCCTCCAAGGGTCACAGCCATCCTTTTCTCTTTTTGTAAATTTTAGTTTTAGATAGGGAAGAGAAAACAGTTTAAAAAGGAAGTGATTTGGGAATAGACAAGTCAAGCATGCAGAGAAATGAGAAAGAAGGGGTGTCTGGGAGCTGAAAGCTTGGGTGAAACAGTAGAGTTGGGTGGAAGGACAGTGCGGAGGGCACCGAACCCTAATAGGTAGAACACCCTCCTTCCTCTGCTTTTTGAACCTGCTATTGGTTGGCTTGCTTTCTGAGCACTGTCACTGATATTGCTTGGGTTTTGTGCCCAGTGTTGCTAACAACTTTGACTGCACTTGCATGGTAGCCATGAGTCCTCCCATCAAATCTTTATTATTATTTTTTTAAATGTAATTGGTTGTTACAGAGTCTCACTACATAGCTTGGACTCATAGTGATCCTCCTATTTTCAGCCTCCCCGTGCTGGGGTTACAGTATGCCACTACACACGGACTCTGTGGCTGGCTCAGCCTGCCCAGGGGGAGGGGCTGGCATGGCATGTGGTACCAGAGATTGAACCACGGTCTCTGCGCTTGCCTAAGCTTGCCTAAGCAGGCGCTTTAGTCCACTGAGCTATTGCGCCAGCCTAACCACCAAATCACTAAAATGCTTAAGTAAAGGATGCAGCTCATAGAAGCAGATGAATTACTGGAGGGAGCAGTGAGTGGTCACAGTAGAAATAGAAACTTTTAGAATAATGATATTAATATAGGATGACTTATTCACATACAAGCATCTTCTTACTGATTTTGGCTAGGGTTGCCTATGGGCTTACCAAAATGATGACCAAGACAAGCATGCAGTGTGAGCAGAAGTATGATGGGCTCGATGAATAAAATAATGGGTGGGTCATTCCCGATTAAAGTAAGTGTTGAATTCTGACTTAAAGCCTACCAACAGATGCAGCTTGTCACTTGACACTCATTGATAAGATTTCGACTTATGATCTTGGCTGTGTAGTCAAACTTCTCTGCCAATATTCACCTGCATTTGTTGCTGCTCTCCAGGACTACCATCACCACCTCAGCTCCACCTCAGATCATCAGGCCTTAGATTCTAAGACAGAGTGCAATCTATATCCCTTGAATGCGCAGTTCACAGTAGGGCTCCCGCTCCTATGGGAACCCGATGCTGCCACTAATCTGACAGGATTGAGGTCAGGCGGGAATGTGAGCGAGCGATGGGCAGCAAATGTAGCTATGGATGGCCCTTTGCTTGCTCACTTACCGCTCACCTCCTTCTGTGGAGCAATTCTATTAGTTTGGCCATTGAAGTTATCCAGGTATCAAATCTTAGCAGGAGTAGGAAGTGATGAGACTGGGAGGGTTGTACAACAAGAAGAAAGAAGGAACACATAGTGAAATGGTGTGGGCCTTTTCTGCCTAAAGCGCAGCCTCAAGTACAGTCCTCTCACTAGCAGCATGGGCATCAGCTGGAACTTCTGAGCCATATGGACACTTGGGCCCACCCAGACCTATGGCTTAGGACCCGCATTTCAGAAACATCCCTCAAGAATTTGCATGTATGCTTTGGCTTGAGAAAGGTTGTTTTAAAGAAGATTGAGTCAAAGTCACCCCAGGTTTTGAAATTGAGTTCCCAAGACAAGGAATGGGAAGTTAGAGCAGAAAAAATGACTATTGGAGACAAAATAGGTAATTTGCTTTTAGACAAGCTGGCTGTAAAGCTGCTTAAGATAAGTGGAAAATTGACCACCAACAAAGATTCTTGGCTTGATGAAACTGTAGTCAGGTTCCTGAACATTTTACTTGGTCATCTGTGTACTTCCTTATAAACTCCTTTAAAGGATTTTAAAGAATCTTTTTTAAAATTTTATTTTAATTAATTTATTTATTTATTTATTTATTTTTGGTAGAACTGGGGATTGAACTCAGGCCCTTGTGCTTGCCAGGCAAGCGCTTGTTCTACTGAACTATCTCCCCGGCCTCCTATAATTAATTAACTAATTTTTTTTGAGGCAGGGTACAGGCTGGTCTTGAACCCATTTAAGTAACCCAAATTGTCCTTGAGCATCATGGTCTGTCTGCTTCACCCTCCCAAGTGCTGGGATTTCAGATGTGTGCCACCATTCCTGGTTTATTAAAATCCTATTTTAGCAAGTCTGTTAAGTCTGTTTGAGAAGAATTCCCCCATCCTCATTGTCTATGCTTATTTGTTCCTTCTCAATATCTGTTTGCTTTTATTCACCATCATCTAATTTGGACACCCTGGACTGTCTTCAGCAAAAAAATCTTAGTAGATTGGTTTAGCAGAATATTCCCTTTATCCCTGAAGTTTCCTCTTAGTATTTTTCCATTCACTGACCCCACCCTGCTCCTGGGCTATAAATTCCTGCTTGCCTATGCTATATTTGGAATTAAACCAGTTCTATACTAAGGTTGTTTTTCCCCTCTTCTATTGCAATATTACTGAATAAAATACGCTTTTCCTCCTTTCCTTACTATCCAGCTCTGATTTTTTCTTTGGCACCATCTGGTAGCTGAGAATGACTTTGACTATTGAAGTTGTAAGAGATTTGAACAATCATGTTCTCAGACCCCTTCGCTGACAGCTGAAGAAAATGGGGCCTGTATGACCCAGTGGAGGCCTGACCTATTCCCTGCAAACTTCTGGGCATCCAGGTCCCTACTGTCCAGGTCATTGAGCTCTCTTGGTCTGGGTCCAGTGATCTAACTCACTCTGCTTCAAAGTCTTCATTAGGACATGGTCTTCAAGCCACATATTCCAGGAGTAATAGGGCTCAGTCCTCAAGGTACTACAGTCTCCTCACTGCATACTGTCTAGCAGCTGGTAACTTTAAATAACTCAGCTCAGAAATTCTAGGAAAACGGTGTGTCACCTGCCTATCAGAATAGAGCTAGGAGAGTCTCTGAACCAATATTTGTAAGGTGCTTAGAAAGCCTTGAATAAAAGGCCCTAAACAAATACAGGGTGCTGTGTCACATGTCTATCTCTTATCAGTCCTAAAAAATTTGGAGGCACTTGCAAAAGGAAATGTCAATATGATTGAAGTGTACAAATTATCAAATTATCTTTTTACTAGAGGAAGATGCATTTTGCAAGCAAGTTACACAGTGTTTCGTAAGGGAAGTTGTGGAATGAAACAGAGAATTGTGAAGCTGACCCTGATCAGGCAGAACTGAGGCTCAATAGGCATCTTATTAGGAAAAAAAATCACATTGTCCCACACTTCATTACGGAAAGAATGAACATTCTTATTGCTTTACTTCTCATGAACATTTTTCTCCTTTAATATAAATACCAACTTGACCTTCAATCCTTACATCCAAATCAAAGTTCAACTATATACAACATTCTCTATCATTTTAATGGACAACATAATGTTATTTCACTCAACAACATTTATCAAATAATATTTACTTAAAATCTAGTATGTGACTCTCTGTTTCAGGTTCTGGAGACATAGCAATACATAAAATAGAAAAAGAAATCCTTGCCCTTGTGTAATATGAATTTATAGGAGGAATGGACAAAGAAACAATAAATAGGTTCTGTAGTGTCTTAGGTGGTGATGGGACTATGGGGAAAGTAGAGCAGAGTATGACAGATGGGGAATGCCATGTGAGAGCAACAGGGTACAATATTAAATAGGACAATGTAGAAAGACCTCAGTGGAAGGGTCATATTTGATCAAGAATTGAAGTGGGTTTGCGAGCAAGCCAAGTTGAGGAAAAGGATTCAGGGCGACAGTGTTCAGGACAAAGGCCCTGAGGCAGAGACACCTTAGCAGGTTTGAAAATGGTAGGCAGCCAATAGGAAGAGAAACAAGTGAGCTAAGAGACAAATGGTGGGAGGCGAGGTCCAGGAGGTAACAGGGTGGGGACTCAGGGGATAGCACAGGAGCATGGAGCAAGTGGCAAAGGATCAAGAACAAAAAGTTTTGTCAGAGAGCAGGGCACAAGTGAAAGGTGTGGCACTAACTACAGTTTGAGTAGAGCTTTAGAGCTGGCAAAGCTCATTAGTACACCAGCTTTGCTCAAATTGGGTTCATCCTCACTGAGCACCTTAGGGTTAGATGGTTTCCCATGTGACTTTTCATTTTATGAGACAGGGTCTTGCTATGAAGATCAAGCTGGCCTTGTGCCCATTTTTGTAGCCCCCCAGGCTGATCTCGAACTTGCAGCAATCCTCCTGTCTCAGCCTCCCAGGTTCTGGGATTACAGGCATGTGCCACCACGTCCAGTTCCTCATGTGCCTTTTCTTCACCTATAAAATTCTCCATATTGCAGGTAAAGGCAACAAAGAACAGGTTAGTTGACTGGGGGTCTTGCAATTGACTCCATATCAAGAACATTAAAGTCAGAATGGGGCTGGAGAGAAGGCTTAGTAGAATAAGCACTTGCCTGGCAAGTGGAAGGGCCTGAGTTCAATCTC